GTTCGCCATAATCATAATCTATTGTGGAGTGATGATCATCACTCTAGCGATCAATAGATTACTTTTTCAATAACAAACTGAAGGTTCTGAAAGAATAGAAGCTCGCTATAGAAAATTACCATGTTTCTTAGGCATCCAGTCGATTGTACTATATTTATGTTTAAAAATTTTATCTCATTTATTAAAAAATAAAAATTCGATACAATTGATAATGATAGATACATATCTAAGATAATTAAAGTTTTTTAGTGTCCAAAAATAAAATTCTTAGTAGTTGCTATGTATATAATATAAAATAACTAATACCAAATGTTCTTTTTAGAAGAAATCAATAATCCACTTTTGAAACCAATAAATCAATTCCAGGAATAGGTTTAGCTATACCGAAAGATTTACTTTGAAAAGTAAAATCTTCAACTAATTTAAATTCAAAATTTCTAATAATCACCGATAAAATAGATCTAAGTTCCAAAAGAGCCATTTTCATGCCCAAACAAGTTTTTGGACCAGCACCAAAAGGCAAGTAATTACTGTTTGTTATTTTTGATTTTTCTGGATCAAGCCATCGAGACGGGTTAAAATGTTCAACATCATCACCCCAAATTGAGGGATCGTGATGGAGTGAGTAGATAGAAATCCATAACTGAGTTCCCTAAAAAGAAAATTTTCAAAATTATATACTATTTTATTATCAAATAAATTGTACTATGACTATGATAAGTTAATTAGGAAAATACCTTTGGAATAAAATAGCCATTCATTACTTCATCCTTTGAAGTACGACGAAGTAGTTGCGGCGCTTAATTTATAACAAATTAGAATTAGAATTAAATAGAGTTAAATAAAAATAATTCAAGTTAGAAAAAAATATTGAACTATGTACCAGGTGGCATGATCCTTAAAGTTTCTTTAATAACACATTCCGAATATTTCAAATGTTCAATTTCATCATAAGTTGGATGATGATTACGGTCAGCAAATAAATCAAGCACTTCTTTACGAAGACGATCCTGAGTATCAGGATTTTCAGCGAGAAAGTATAAAATCCAAGATAGTGCAGTACTAGTAGTCTCGTGTCCAGCAAAAAGTAATGTCATAACCTAAAGTTTAAAATTTTATATTTAATAAAGTTATATGCTACAAATAAAAAATGTGGCAGCTTATTCTGAGATTGGCTTATGCTGAGAATTTGACCTATTTTATTATGAAATTGGGGTTTTTTTTGTAACCTCTTTTTTCACAGTTAGGTTAGGTTAGAGTTTAGGATTAGTATTATTAATAAAAGAGTATATGTGGATTTTAGTAGATATTATAGATTTAAATTGGGACCAAAATCTCAGAATAAGCCGATATCAGCATAAGCTCTCACAAAAAATATTTTTTAATAAATAAATTCTTGCCTGACTAATCAATTCTTTATGAGTTAATTGTTCATCAGCGGGCAAATTTTCATTCGCTTTTATCAACAATGACAATAAATCAGTTCCTCGAACAGGACTATTTTTTTGTTCAGCAACTAGTCTCTCAGAAGTATTATTGATAATTTTAATAGAATCATAACGTTCGTTATTATAAGAAGTTGGAGATTTTCTGATTGGAATTATGTTGTTAAGGGTCAAGTATAAAACAGAATCATTTTGACTAGTTATTGTATTGTATGCTTGAGCTAATTCAGATTGCGAGCCAGTACAATTAAATTCGTGATTAAACCCTAGCGATTACGAATAGAAACGTCATTGATAAAATTTAGCAAGTAAAACGAATACATATTAATATTTACCAACACGACCGATAACATCTAAAGCTATCTTTGGAATTAAATCTGTAATCGTGATTCGTTCCACTTTTTTATTATCAATTTGTTTCATCCAAAGATCTTTTAATTTATGGCCAGCTTGAACGAATGTTGGAGCCATTTCCTTAGAATTGAAGTTAAAATAATAATTAGATATATATATATATTCCACGGTCCTTAATGTTCGCCCGTGAACATTTCTGTTGATATTTTTATGATGATGTAATACCGTGGAGATATCAAAAAATATTACACGGTATGACATCATCAGTAAAAATTTTAATCAGAAACGTTACGGGCATAATGACCGTTGAATATATCAGATATTACACGTGCGCCGTGAACATCATGTGTTACCACGGCTTCGCCGTGCTAATCCATGATATTCACAACAGCCCGTGTAATATCTATTACATATAATAATCCATTAATAGACTATAATATTAATAATCGTAAAAGCATACCTTGACATGGGAAAACCCAAATGAAGGAGACATCATTTTTCTTTGTCGTTTATGAGCACCTCCTTCAGCAAATATAATACCTTCACCTATAACTTCTTTCAACATATCTTTGTTAAAGACGGCCCTCGGATATTCATATGAATGACCTAACATTATTTGCTGGACAAGTCTTTGATCGGCAATTACGATATAAGGTTCATTAAATAAGCCATGATATCTAACCATCACACCATATTGTTTTACTAAGTGGGCAAGACCTTTAGCTAGATCTTTATTTAAAGAAGAGGTATAGTGCCCAAGAATAAAATTTTCAGCAGGTGGACCAGGAATTTTACGTAATGGGGACAAATAGACAGGATAAATATAACACTTGTACAAAACGTAGATAACAAATGCAATCGCTGCTAAGTAGTAATGCATTTTTAAAGTATGGGAAGTGGATTGAAGGTGCTGATGGGTATGAGAAGTAAATTGAATATGCTGATGCTTTTTTAAAGTATGAGAAGTGAATTGAATGTGCTGATGTCTTTTTTTGCGATCATTTTCCCATCATTTTATATTAGATTTCTTACATTGCGACAGCATTAAATCACATATATTTAAAAGATGATTGAAATTTGGAACAAATATTATACCGGTACCAATACACACGGACTTATAGTTAACCCATAATCTTAGCCTGGCTTGTTTTGAACATGCATGTACTGTACATATAAAGTAATTCTCGTTTGTATTAAATATATACAGTAGGTTTCCATAAATGCACAGTCTGATCCGGGTTAATCAAAATTTTGCAATTTGATTGGTTGGTTATATCGGCTAATCTCGTAACATGCAAGTCTTTTAAAAAGGTTTTTTAAAATATCTCAATTTTTATTATGCAAACCAATTTCCATTTATAATTGAAAATATAGCCCGTATCAAATTTAATTCGAATCTTGAAAGAACTCAATTTTGATTTTTAGGGGAGTTTGGGCCCTTTCTACTGCAAAGCCCTATATTTTGCCCTCCATATGTGCACACATTCTCTAAATAAACAGTTTTTTTTTTTTATGTTTCTAAGGTGATTTAGAGAGATTTGACAGGCATAAAAATAACAAGATAAAAATAATAACCCTAAGTGTCTGCACGATAATAAAGTTTTAATTATCCGGTTGATCCGATTATCTACCAATAACGATAATGTTTTGTCATATGTTTTTAATAACAGCAAATTATCTGTTGCCGGGATTTTAAATAGTCCTCGCTGATCCGTTCATTTTACAGGGCGTACTGCTATATCAGGTTAGCATTAATGAATTATTATCCGAATTTAGAGATCATCTAAAGCCAGGTAGTAATTTATATGCCTCACATGACTTTTACTTTACAAATTTATTATTAATCAACTTAAAAACTACCCAGCTTTAGACGATCCCCGAATTTAGTAAAAGACTTTGCGCCTCATGTAAATATTACATGATTGACTAATAGCGATGCAGTTAATCCTCATATGATATAATGGTTTTATTTTTCGTATGCTATAACTGATTACAGATATGAACAATGGTTTCAATATACATATGAAATTCACTAGCTTTCCGTAAGTGTACGATCAGTTTCGATAGTATATATCATCTTAATATAGAAATACAAATTAGGCTCATCGGCTCTATTAATTAACCGATTTTTAAATTACGCACGTTACCGAAATTACCAGAACGCTGATTATCAATACGTAATGTTGCAATTCATCAGGGGCTAAACTCGCCATAGTGAAAACTTCAAGTATTCACTTTCAGCTTTTCGCTCTGCAGCACTCATTTGGTAAAAATTATAGTACTTGGCAAAAAGGCGTGACCCTGTGATTTTTGTGATAAGGATAGCGGAAATTTCAGAAATTCTAGATTGTCTATCGATACTTTTCAATCACGTCTATACTTATTCGAATCTCTTAAAATCAGCATGGTTGATCAATCTATCGGCCATATTTTTCAATCAGCGACGTCTATATTTATTCAAAATTTCTTAGAATCAGCATGAATCAAGTTTGATTTCATTGGTTGATCAATAAAAATTTTGTTTGGCTAAAATCAAAGATCACTTCACGTTACTTCTTGTACTTTTTGATTGATAATTTCAATCATCCTTGCTTTAACACGTTAGCACATTTATATCTTACTCACATGTGGTTTGGAACTCTTACAGCTATTTTCATAATTCCTGGGACACCAGTAAAAATTAGCAGAATGATTTTTCGGCTGATTCGGTTAAGTTATTATTTCGGTATGCTAGATTCAATAAAAATTGGTAAGTACGTACATACGTACAGCACCAGGCGCATGGATTACCATGCGAGCAAAATTTTTAATATGGAGTCAAATTTCCGACGCACCCAAATTTTATATGTAAAATGTAGGTAAAATTTGCTTTATAGGCTTATTTAATAATCAAGGATTTGTCGGTATAATTTCTGGGTATCATTTTGCAAGTTCTCTAGTATTTGATGGTTATTCCTATAAAATTTTAAGGGTAATTTTAAAAATAAAATGGAGAAAGGTCATGGTCACGAAGTTGATTTTTTTTTACGATTTTCAAGCATAATAGAATTTGTTTGATTGGATACTTATATTATATGATAAAATATTGTTACACGGGCTTTTTATATTATTTTACAATAGAAATTTAAAATAAAGTAGCTTATCGAAATTTTTATAATAAAGCCCCCCGAAATTTTGTCAAAAGGTTTTTCAAATGCTTAACTTTCATATAAAAGTTTGGAACCAAATGGGATCAAGTGTTTCACCAACTTTTATTAAAACAATTCGATATTACAAGCATGTAGTAAGTTAACAATATTATGTACTTTTTAACTTTCAAAGAGTAATAATTAATAAATATAATATTTTCTTTTTCAAACTTCATGTAAGAAAGATAAAAATCAGTTATTTTACAAAATCTTATAAAAGTATCGGAGATGCAAATTCTTAATTTTGGCAATTAGTTTTTGCTTATTTTAGCATCTAATAGTATCTATTAGCACCCAATCATATTTAGTATTTGAGTCTTGTTTCTTAAGTTTATTTTTTATTTCTTGTATAATTTCTTTATAGTTCTTTAACAACTTTTTAAATATTATTTATCTGCTAAAACTTTCAACTGCAAGTTATTAATCTCTTCTGCAAAGTACCTATTATTGTTTGAATCAAAAGCAATAATAATATTAGTATCTACAACACTACTCAAAGCAAATAAATAAAAATAATTTTCAAATTTACCAATAAAGTTTTTGAAATAAAAAGTTAAATTTTAAATTATATTATATTTTTTATTTAGCTTATATATCAATTATAATATAGACTCAAAAATCTAAATATAATATATTTAAATTAATTTCTGAATCTAAAAGAAACAAGATAATAATAGTAGCAACTAAAACTTATCAAAAAAAGTTTAAGCAAAGAAAAAACAAAATAGTTTAAAAACTTGAAGAGCTAATTCTAAAAAATATAAAAAGCAAAATTGTAAAAATTTTTTATTAGACAAAAAAGAATTGCTTGAAGTTTTAATAAACAAAATATTAATTGATAATTATAAAAAACTAGTTAATTTGTAATATACTACTAGAAAATAAAAAAAAACTAGTTATTAAATAGGGTATTGCTATATATACTATTATTTTGCTATTTACACTACTCTAAATATTAAAATTTTGTTAGTTTTTTGTTTACAATATTTAAAATTTTTAGCTAAAAAATGTTTTAATAACTTCTTAACTAAAACTTATAATTAAATAAATAAGTTTATTAAAAAAATAATAAAATTTTAGCATTTAAGATAGTGCAAATAGCAAAAATAATGGTATAAATAGCAACATCCTTAAAATAATAGTTACAAAATATTTAAAAAAATTTTATAATATATTAAAAGCAATAGATTAACCAAATATACTAAAACTAGTTTTTTTTTTTTTTTTTTAATGTTAAGATGACCTCTTGATTAGGTCTCTTTATTCAGTTATTGATTAACTTTACCATATGCTAAGCCCCTTTTGACATCTGTACAGTATATATATTTTTGGAGGATACATACTAGCCACATATACAACTTTTGGTTGCCTATTTAAGTAGTCTGCTTATCACTAAGTTCTACACTAGATATCATATCTGCAACCCAACTAGGAGGTTACCTATTTAAACCCTCTGTGCCGTATAAGGGTCAACCTTTTTATATAACCGAATTAGAGTATACCTTTAAGAACCCTGACTTAGGACTTTAAAGCTGGCTTTACCAGTAAGCACTTTGTTCTCGAAGTAAACCTGCTAGAGCTTTCCGTATCTACAATCTGGCCAACCTTGACTTTGGTAACTTATGCTGAGTCTGAGGACAAGTACTTGCGAGCCGAGGCTACTACCATTACCTACTTCTGCCCTTGTAGAGTTCACTCAAACTCCAGTACACATACTACAGACTATCACTAATTTTAATCTCAACAATTCCAAACTACCAATCCAAATAGCCTAGAAGGGCTGTAACCTGCCCTGGTCCCCATGGTTGGGTCCTTTTCCTCCGGTTACTCTCCCAGCAGCCTGGTTGGTGGAGTCCTTGCCAACACTTCAGTCCCGTTTAGTTTTGACAGTTCTCTCGGTAATAATCCTTTACATAATATCATCGAAGATCTGTGCTACCTCTCTATTCGGGTCTTGCCAAGCGTGTTCTATCATCTTTCCTGGTTCCTTGGGTTTACAATGATCTGAAGACTTATTGTATAACTCATATATCACACAAATGCCCCATAATCTCCCAATCCTGTTGGTGCCACCAAGGTTACAGAGATCTCGTTCTAACCATTAATCAGACGGCTATAATGTCATACAGGTAGAATATTTCAAAATTCGTCGCCAGTAGGTTTCAAACCCCCTACCTAGCCAACAAGTCGCTTAGGGGTGTGACAACTTAACCACTTCACTAAGTCACCACACCCTAAAACTAGTTTTTAAAAATATAAAAATTATAGTTTTAATCAAAAAAATAGCAAGAAATTATAAAAAGTAGTATAAAAAAAAGAATTTAAGAAATTATAATAAAATATACAGTCGTACCTGAGTTATATCACCCCTTTTTTCCAGAGCATTTTTGGGGATATAACTAAGGTGGGGATATA